GCGTGCTTCGGCCTTCGTGGCGCTCCTGGTTACCTCGCGCTCACTCCCTGCTGGACGCGTCGCTCGACGCTGCGAGGCGTGCGCGGCTCGCTGCGAGGCACAGCTGCCAGCGCCTGCTTGGGGCGCGCTGGGCGCTGCGCACGCAGCTGTAGCCAAGACGCTGAAGTAAGGACCACCTTGAGCTCAGCGGGGGGCTCTGGATGTCGGGCGGCTCGTCAGATCTCAGGCAGGGGGGGCCCATTCGTGGCCGAGGCTCGCCGTGGCCAGGGCAGCCCCCATCGTTCCCTGCTCGGCGCTCCCTGCGGTGGCACGATGCCTGTAGGCAACGCTGCCCCCTCCCTCCCTCCTCCCCCTCGATCCCTTGCCCGCCCCCCCCCCCCCCTGGCGGAACGAGGGCTCCCGCGACAGGCGCTGGCGGGGGCCGAGGTGCTCGCTGGCGTGCGCGCACGCGCGCGGCGACGCGCAGCGCGGAGTCGGGCGCGAGTCATTTGGAGGAGGTCCTTCTCCGTCACCCCCTCATCCCTCCTCTCCTCCTTCCCCCCCTCCCTCCTCGGCTGAGAGGGGTGGCGGTCGGAATCAAAGTGACACCCTCTGCTCTCGGGGTGCGAGCTTGTGGCAGAGAGGCGCGCAGATTGCTGCAACGCCGAGTCCGACCGCGACCTCCTTCCTCAGGGCTGGACGTAAACGGTGTTTTGGCGATTTCGTGGGCCGTTTTCGTCTCGACTTCGTTTTGCGGTAAAGGTGGACAGGACAAGACGAGGGAAAACGAAAGCAAAACGAAAACGAAAAACACCGTTTAGGTTCAGCCCTGTCCTTGCTCGCCTTTCCCGCCATTTTTTTGAGGAGCGAGGGCTCGAGCGGACGCGGGCGCCCCCGCCGCCCTTCCTCCCCCCCCCTCCCCCCCGCTGCCGCGCGCGCGCAGGGCGGCCTGCTGCCGCAGGGCCCGCTCGGGGGACTCCGCGGACACGACAGGTGGGGGGGGGGGTCCTCCTCGTCCTCCTCCCGGTGCCTCTCCTCCTCCTCCTCCTCCTCCTCCTCCTCCTCCTCCTCCTCCTCCTCCTCCTCCTCCTCTCCGGGGCGCGGCGGGTGGCAGCGAGCTCGCCGTGGCCCTAGATCTCCGACCATAATGAGCGTTGCGCAAGCCAGTGCTTGCATGTAAGGGGTTCTCCTCTGTCTTCGAAGTAAGTGGGCCTGGGTGGCGGTCTGGCGGCTGTGGTGCCGTCGCCGCCGCCCCGTCGCCGCCTCGTCGCCGCCCGTCGTCTGGGCCCGGGTGGCGGTCTGGCCACTCTGTTGATGTTGTCGCCGCTTCGTCGCCGCCCGTCGTCTGGGCCTCGGTGGCGGTCTGGTGGCCACATTACCGCCCCGTCCGTAGCCGCCCGTCGTCTGGGCCTAGGTGGCGGTCTGGCGGCTCTGGTGCCGCCGTCGCCGCCCCGTCGCCGCTTTGTCTCCTCCCACACGGTTTTTTTTTTGTCCGCATTATCCGGGCGTAGGACCCAACCACCTGCAGTTGTGAGGACCGCCGTTGTGAGAACAGGCTTCGGTGGAGCTCCCTAAGGGGCCACGAAATGCGTGAAGGGAGCGCCGACATGCGGCGGGGAGGTCAGGCAGAATGGGTTGCATGCTGATGTAACCCGTTGCGGTTGACAGGCGCCAGGAGAAGCGGGAGAAGACATGCGGGTGCAGCCACTGGGACCTTAGGTGGAGTTCCCAATGGGGCCACGAAACGTGCTAGGGGTGTGCCAAAGTGCTGGGGGTGGCGGCATGCGAACGCAGCGCAGTCACTGGGGCCTTCGGTGGAGCTCCCGAGGAAAGGAGAGGAGAAGAGAGGAGAGGAGAGGAGGAGGAGCGGAGCGGAGCGGAGCGGAGCGGAGCGGAGAGGAGAGGAGAGGAGAGGAGAGGAGAGGAGAGGGGAAGGGAGAGGAGAGGAGAGGAGAGGAGAGCAGAGGAGAGAAGAGGAGAGGACCTGGGGACTCTTCAGAACGAGGACCCAACACCACAGGACGGCTGGGAAAACATGATCTTGGCGAAGGATCTAACCATATGCAGTTGTGAATACCGCCAGTGTGAGAACCGCTTTCGGTGGAGCTCCCGACGGAGCCGCGAAATGCGTGAGGAGAGGTGAGGGGTGTGCCAAAGTGAGGGTGGTGGCGGCATGCGGGCGCAGCCATTGGGGCCTTCGGTGTAGCTCCCTATGGGGCCACGAAACGCGCGAGGGGCGTGCCAAAGTGAGAGGGGTGGCGGCATGCGAGCACAACAAGTGGTTCCGTAGGTGGAGCTCCATATGGAACCACGCATCGTGCGAGGGGCGTGCCAAAGTGAGGGGGGGGCGGCATGCGGGCGCAGCCACTGGGGCCCTTGGTGGAGCTCCATATGGGGCCACGAAGCGTGTGAGGTGTGTGCGAAAGTGCGGGGGGGGCGGCATGCGGGCGCAGCCATTGAGGCCTTCGGTGGAGCTCCTTATGGGGCCACGACACGTGTGAGGGGTGTGCCAAAATGAGGGGGTGGCGGCATGCCGGCGCAGCAATTGGGGCCCCAGGTGGGTCTCCTCATGGGGCCACGAAACGTGCGAGGGGTGTCCCAAAAGGGGGTGGGGCGGCACGCGGGCGCAAACATGGGGGCTTCAGGTGCAGCTCCCGACGGGGCTGGCGCGCTCTGTCGCCAAATCGGGCGGCACTGGCATCGTGCTTGCCGGGTGCCCTCTCCGATCCGTGAGCTGGCGCCCGCGCTCCAGACCCACGGATCCCTAATCCACGTGAGCGCGGGCCCGAAGGTGGCAGCGAGTTCGCCGTGGTTCCCCCCTCCACAACTACTCAATTTGGGTACTACTCTCCCTCTTCCCCTGATGACGGTTTGAAAGTGGCCGACCCCGCCCGCGTATTGTTTTTTACACTCAGGTTTCCCCGGAGTTGGGTGTTCGCCTGCATTTTTTTTCAAAATGCTGCTCTCGCTGAGGCGCCGGCCTCATTTTCGGGCCCCGCTCGTTCCGAATCGTGCTCCCCTGCAGCGCTGGCCTCATGTCCGTGCTTCCGCTCGTTCCGAATCGTGCTCCCGCTGCAGCGTTGGCCTCATTTCCGCGCTTCCGCTCGTTTCGGTTCGTGCTCCCGCTGCAGCGCTGGCGGCATTTCCCGTGCCATGCCACGACATGCAATGCAATGCTAGGTTGATACTACGTTTTGCGGTGCTCTTCTACGCCATGCCACGCCGTGCTTTACAATGCATCGCGTACCCTTTCGGGATCATTGCCCTGCTCGACATCCGACTGAGCGAGTAGAGAGGGGATCTGCGCCATGGTAAGGGATGGGAGGGAGGGGTAGGATGTCAGATATGACGCGAGCGCACCCAGCTTGCCCCTCCCCCCTCCCCCCTCCCCCCTCCCCCCTCCTCCCCCCAGCTGGGCATGAAGCCCAAGGCTATGATTATCTGTTCCACGCCGGGCGTGTTCGACATGACTGGGGCCCCCGCACGTCGCTCCCGCCGGAGAGTTGCCGCCGAGAGAGATTGGGCCCGGGGCTCCGGTCGTGAGCCTGCACGGTGCTGCGCCTTTTCCGCGGCACGGGATGTCAGGCTGCGAATCTTGGAGCAAGCGGCTTTGGAGGGTGTCTTTCGTTGTCGGGCTCCCAGGACGAGGCCGCGATCCGGGGTGGAAGAACGATTCTTGGGGAGGGCCCCCGAGTCCAGGACCCGTTGCCGCAAGGCTCCCTGTTGTTTTCCAGCGCGGACGCCCCTGGCAAGAGTGTTGGCCAAAGCCCAGGAGGCTCTCCCGGGGTCAAAACCTTGCTGTCCTCAGAAGCCCTTGGGAGCCCTTTTCCGAAACTCGTCAAGTCAACAACGTACGGACCAAACAGATCACATAGCTTTCGTCGTTTTATGTCTCGCGGTTTACAGAATGTCCATTCGGAAGCTCGAAAACTTGAGAAGGCGAGGCCAACAAAACGAGCAGGCAAGGGTTTTGCAAATAACCGAAACGTTTTTTGTTGGTGCTGGGAGCTTTTGGGGCCTCTTCGGAGCATTGTGGGAAAGCATCAGGGTCGTGGACAAGAGGCGTCTTAAAGGCCTCCTGGCGTCTCTTGTATCCTGGGGGCTGCTTGAGGGGCTCGTGGGCCATGGGGGGGGGGACAGTCTTCGGGCTGTCTTAGCCGTCTTCGGGTGTCATGGATGCGCTAGACTGATGGAAAGCTGCGTATGCGACGCGTTGTTCTATGATGTTGGCTTGTTGTGCCAGCCCACAGGGCCTCTAAGACGGCCTGAGAGGCCCCCAGGAAAGTCCAGGATGTTTGTTTACTGCCACCGATGGGTTCTAAGTCACTTAGCGGGTTTCAGCGCTGCTTGGATTGCTGTTTTGCAATGTTGGAGTCGGCTTGGGCGGGTTTGGCTTTCCAGAGGGCCGCGCGGTAAATGTTGGAAGCGCACGGGAGCGTCAAATAATTCAAGCATATTGGTGGCCCGGGAGTCGAATAAATTGCAATTTTTAAGACTCACAATTGTCTGAGCCTTGGGGCACTCGGCGGCCACAACAGAGGAGACTCATCAGGAGACGCATAGCCCTGGTAAAGTATGTTGCTCCCAGCCCGTGCATGCTGTACCGCCGCATGTGTGCGATGCAAGATCAGATTTGGAGTCAAAGCTGGCAGGTGTGTGAGGCATCTGCGTGAGGGGGAGTACCTCAGAGCCGTCTTGTCCTGTCTTGGAGCCAGGCTCGACGGGGCCATCTTGGGCCAAGTGGGCCATCTTGGCTCGGCCCTGGAGCCTTAGAGGCAGCCTTGTGCTGTCCAGGGCCATACTGGGGTGATGCTGATGCGCCTCCTAGGAGATTCCAAGACCGGGGGCGTCTGGACCGTCGGGGAGGGGTATTGAGAGAAGAGGAGCTGCTTCGGAGTAGCTGGCACTCAAAAGCACATGTGCGTTGAGGTCCGATGATGGCTGGTGAGAGTCGTTCCGCGCGGAGCGGCCGGACCTGAGAACCGCTGACCATCAGGTAGACGAGCATTTAGCAGTTTCTCAGTGGGCAATTCGGCCCGAGCCATTCCGACACGAGCCGGCGGATCGGCAGGCTCGCCGCGGCAGGCTCGAGATGCTGCCGAGCGTCGCCCCCCATGGCAGCGAGCCCCCAGTGCAGTCGCGCACATGGCCCGCCAGGTCGCTCGCGTGCTCCGCAGGCACATGCGCCGTGCCACAGGCTTATGTCGGGCCTGTCCCCCTACAGGGGGATTCATTTTCGACGAAAAAGAAAAATACCCCCAAAATAGTCCAAAAATATTCCAAAAAAAGTCTGGGGAGCATTTTTTGATTTTTTTTTTTTTTGTTTTACTTTTTTGGCGCATTTTTGGTGTATTTTTATTTTTTCGTCGAAAATCCCCCTGTAGGGGGACACGCCCGACATAACCACAGGCCAGCTCCTGGGCAGCGCGCCCGACGGGTCGCCGGCGAGCCGCCGCGGGCTGCGCCGCGCTGGCCGCGTCCGGCCTGGCCTCTGCGCGGCGGCGGCGAAGACGAGCCAGCGGTCGCGGTGGCACCGCGCGCCGCGCCTGGGGCGCGCCGCCCCCCCCGCCGCCGTGGTGGCGGGGGCTGAACGGCTGGCTGCTGGGGGGGATGGCGGCGGGCCTCCTCGCGCTGGCGGCACGCTACTTGCGCAGGGGCAGCAGCAAAGACTCGCTCGCTGCTGCCGCGAGGCGTCTGGAAGCGAGCATGGGCGCGGCGGCGCAGGCAGCGGTGTCGCCTCAGCCACAGCCGGCGCCGCCAGCGCCAGCGGCGCCCCTGCCGCGAGCCGCTGCAGCAGCCGCCTCCTCTGCGCCAGCCCCGCCACCGCCCGCAGCTGCTCCAGCGGCGCCAGCGCCAGCGGCAAGCGCCGCGGCGTCGCCAGCACCATCGCCGGCGGCGAGCCCCCAGCCGCCACCGATGTCAGCACCGGCACCAGCACCGGCACCGGCGCCAGCGCCAGCACCGGCACCGGCACCGGCGCCGGCGTCGGCGTCGACGGCCAGCGCCGCCTCGGCGGCACCACCGCCAGCGCCAGCGCCGGCGTCGGGTCCCCCAACGGACAAGACGGCCACCGCTTCTCCAGTGGAGGCGCCTGTTGCGAGCTCACCTGCGGCGGACGTGCCGAGGAAGCTGTCGCTGGCAGACGGCAGGGAGGTGCGGGTGTTGAAAGACAGAGCAGATGTGATTCGAGCCATGGTTGACGAACTGGATGATGCAGCGCGCTCCGCGATCGCAGAGAAGGGCGCATTCTCAGTCTGCGTGCCAGGCGGCTTCGGCCCTGCCGACGGCGTCGAGGCTGGCGCGCAGTCTTGTGTCGCAGAGGCGATGTCCCTGCTCGCTGGGAGGCAGGGGCTCGATTTTTCAAAGTTCCACATCTTTTTCGCTGGGGACCGCCTTGACGTCCAGGAGTCCTACAAGGGGGCCTGCGACACCTGGGTCAAGGAGTGCCGCGTGCCCCTCGAGCAGGTGCACGGTGTGGCCCCTGGCCCGCCAGAGGGGGCCGCGGCGCAGTACACGGCACTCATCTGCATGCAGGAGGAGAACGTGATCGCGGACAGCCCCTCGGGCTTGCCAGCTGTGGACCTGCTGCTGCTGGACGTGGGGGAGGGCGGCACGGTCGGCCGCGTCCGGCCAGGCTCAGCCGTGGCGCGGCGCGCGGGGGACGACAACGTCGTCATCCCCGTGGAGGAGCCCGGCCAGGAGGCGCTCGCGCTGTCCCTCGACTTCATGTCCGCGTCCGGCCGCGCCGTGCTCGCCGCGGCGGGCGGGGAGGGCGGGCCGCTGCGCGGGGCCGTGGCCGCGGCCCTGGGAGGGCCCGACGTCGGCGCCGCCAGCCCTGCGGGCCTGGTCAGGGCGCAGCGGACGCTGTGGCTGCTCGATGCCGACGCCGCCGCGGACCTGCCGCGCACGGCGTGAGGCGGCCCGTCTTCGTCGGCCCTTGCGGGCCTCGTCGGGGCGCGGCAGAAACGCCGCGGCTGCTCGGCGCCGGTGCCGCTGCGAGCTCTACTGCCGCGCGGCGCGAGGCGCCCCTCGACTGCCGCGGGCGCATATGAGAAAGTCCTGCCGATTCTCGTCCTCGTCCGCAGACCTCCAGCGCATGGGGGAAATGTCAGGAGGCATCTGTTTCGCTGCTTTCGGCCTCTGGAGCGGGGTCCTCGCTGGGCCCAGGGCCTTCAAGACACGGCTCAGGATGAAAGATCAGCCCTGGGCAAGGGGTCCAGATTGAAAAAACAAGATGTCCGATCGCTAGGTCTCGTCGTACAGTCAAGCCGCTGACACAGTGAACAGTCCGGGTTCGGGAAGGGCCCGCTGCTCTTTGGGCGCAGCTCTTCCATGGTCGTTCTGGTAGCTGTCCTCATGTATCCAGGCGCTTTGGGGGCCCAAAGGGGCGTCGTACTCGGGTCGGCCGAAAGGGGGGATTGGGAAAGGGTGGATACGAATTTGCTGCGTGTAGCTGGTTTTGGCCCCGCTGCTGGGCGCTTTCCTAGCTGAGTTGGCTCTGGGAGGCGCCAAAGAAATCAGCTACGCGAGCTGTTTCGCTAACACCCCGCCCTTGTCCCCCCTCCTTTTCCCGTCTGCCCCACACTATGCGGTAGAGGGGAGGACGGGAGGCAGGGTCAGCACCAGGCAGTTGGATGCAAGTTTGGCGAGAGCTGGATACGCGCGCGTCCGAATGTCGTTCCAGCACCCGGCCCCTCTTATGGCCGTGTTCCGCACGTGCATCCTTAGGTCGGGCGTGTCCCTTTACAGGCGGATTTAGAACGAAAACTTATTAATACCCCAAAACTGTTCAAAAATAGTTGAAACTAACAATACTAATAATAATCCTACCAATGATAATTTCAACAATAACAATAACAAAAACAATAATGATAAATCCCCAGACTAGTTTGGGACTATTTTTGAACATCCCCCCTGTAGAGGGACGGGCCCGACTTACGTGTGCATCCAGCGCGGGGCCTCAAGATGGTCCACGTGTGAATCCAGCCGTTGGTGGCTTCCGGCCTCCGGGTGCACACGCTCAGTCCGCCGGTGCACCCTCGACGTGGCGCGACGGACGTCCGCCCGCCGTCGACGAGGGCGCCGCGGGCGCTGCGCTGTCCCCCGGTGGCGAAGGGGGTCCAGCGGCCGGGTCTCCTGGCGGGAGCGTCCCGTGGCCGGCGGCCGCGCCCCCAGCGTTACCCTTTTTCTACCAGCCTCGAACGTATCCCTATCCCTAAGATTGACACGCCAAAAGGCGATGACAATCTTAGGGATTCGCCCTCAAAAACCAAGGGAATCCCTGAGATTGGCATCGTGATGAGGAGATGCCCAGCATAGGGATAGGGATATGTTCCAGGCTGGTAACTTTTACCGCGACGGAGGCGTCGACGACCCCGAGGAGGATTTTGCAGGCCCTCTGGGCATTCTCGTGGCCACGGCTGGACGCGCCTCGGACTTCTGGTCAGAACGCGCCCCGGGATTGGCGTGGGGGGTCGAATGCGAGGGCTCTCACTGCGTTGTTCTCTTCTTTGTTAGCCTCGTCTTGGGGGGCATCATCGACGTTGCACGCACAATCTTAAGATCCACATTGCGGTTAATTTTCGCCTTCTTGGATTGATCATTGCTTGGATGCTTCCCACAATGCGTAGTATATAATCAGGGTGAGGGTGTCGAGCGGTCTTGCACTCTTCCTGGCTGCGTTGTTGAAGTGCGGTTCCATGGTGCGGAGTCGGGTTTTTGTTGCCACACCCGCCCCGCGACCCACCCGCGATCTTTCCCGAGACCCACCCGCGACCCCGCATCTTGGGTCATCTTGGGCGCCTGTTGGACCGAGTTGGCGCCCTGTTGATGTGTGTTGGGGCTCTGTCGGGGGCCTCTTGAGCCGTCTCTGAACGTCGGGGAGCAGAGCAGGCGACAACGGCAACGTCACTTTTTCGCCTACTGGGGCTCTCTCGGGGAGCAGATTTTTGCAGCCCCGCGACCCACCCGCGACCAGCCTCGCGACCCACCCGCGATCCTCCCTCCGAGGCGGGAATCTATACATGACCACCACATGGAGGGTCCGTTTTCAGAGCCTCGGCAGTCGGTGGATATGATATGGACCTATTCGGGCCCCCCGGGGCCGAAATATATCCATGTACACCGCCCGGCGGGGCACCAGGACGTCGGTTCCCAGGCGGTGGACATGGATAAATCCCCGCCTCGCACTCCCGCGACCTGCTCCGCGGCCCACCCGTGCCGTGCCTTGCCCACGACTCTCCGCGCGAGCTCCGCCGGCCAACCCGCCGAGGATGCATCTGCGACCCACCCGCCTTGTTCTAACATGAAAACTGCCACACACACACACATACACACACGCACACACACACACACACACATACACACGCACACATACACACAACATATATCCATTCAAATAAATCCGAAAGATGCATTGTGGGTTTGCGGGGGCCCCAAGTCCCCAGAGCCCTCAGAGAACCCCGAAACGGCTCCGGAGGGCCCCCGGAAGGGCCCGAAACGGCACCAGAGCTCCCCAGAAGAGCCCTGAGACGGCCCATGGAGGCCCCGAGACGACCCAAGACGGCTTTCAGGCGGTCCAAGATGTTCTCCAGACGGCCCCATGAGCCCCAAAGACTCCCCCGGACGGCTCCAGGCGGGTCCAAGGGGTCCCCCGAAAGAGCTCCATCAAGCAAGAATCGTCACAGTCCCTTCAGAAAATTTACATTTTCAGCAGATTCGGCTTAGTGCTTTTCGAAGCGTCCAAAACGGCCCCAGAGGCCTCCAAGATCGCACAAGATGGCCCAAATAAACAAACATCGTCGATCTCCTGTAAGAAAACTGATGTTTTCGGCGTGTTCGCCTTTTGGGCTTCCTCTGCGTCCAAGACGGCCCAAGAGGCATCCACGCCGGTCAAGGATGCCCCCAAGAGGGCCCCAAGACGGCCCACAAGGGGGCCAAGACGGCCCACGAGGCGCCCAAACCGCCCAAGAACGCCCCAAGGCGGCGTCCAAGACGGGGACGAGGAACCAGAAATTCGCGCTTTTTGGCCCAAGAGACCCCCAGGAGACCCCAAGAGGCTCGAAGAAGCGCTCAAGAAGCCCCAAGAGGCCCCCATGAGACCCGAAAAAGCACCAAAAGAGGCCCCGAAGCCGCCGCCGCCGCAGCCGCCGCCGCCGCCGCCGCCGCGGGTTGGCGGCTGCGCATGCTCCGAATTTGGAATATGGGTCTGTTTTGTATAATTTTTAAAGAGGAATGGTGGGGGCGGGCCTCATGGTTCTGGGTTGGCTACCAGTCGCCTGGGGGAGGGGGTGTTTATTAATAGGGAACAGTGATAAACCCCTCCCCGAAAGGGAAGAAGTGGGCGGAAGAGGAAACACGCTAAACCACCTACGCCGTAAAGGGCTGGTGGGATTTGAGAAAAAAGTTTCTCCATCAGTGCTTGCACTGACGGGGTCCTGGCGGAAGTTAAAAAATTTGGCGACAGTTTCCTGCCGATTCTGGTGGCAGGCTGGGTTCCATGGTTCCCGGTTCCCGGTTCCCGGTGATTGGTTCTGGGCCGATTTCGGTGGGTTTGGGGTTCCCGGGCTCCCGGGTTCCCGGTCGATCTCTTCAGCGACAACCATCCACCGATTGGGTTTTTCTTTGGTGTAATACAATTTGTGCGTCGGGCCCCCAGGGGCGACGCGCGCACCGAGAAACCTTCTAGTATATGCGTCGTGGCGGGCGCTTTCTGGCCACACCGCTCGGGAAACGATCTACTGCAAGATGGGTATATTATGTGTTCGGGTCGGACGCGCGCCTCCAAGGAGGACATATAGTATTAGTATGTCTCTGTGCGTCCCATCCGGCGCTTTTCCCGCATCTCGGCCACGCTCGTCCCCCTGCGGCTTCGCCGTTCCTTCCTGGGCGTGGGCGGGACGCCCGTGGCGAACGGCCGGAGGAGGAGGAGGAGGAGGAGGAGGAAAGGGAGGAGGAGGAGGAGGAGGAGGAGGAGGATCAGCGCGTGGTTGGGAGACAGGGAGCGTGCACCAAGAAAGAGCCGCCTCCTGTGGAGGGGTGGGGACTCCAGGCAGCACGCGAGGGCCATCGACCTTTCGGCTTGGGCGAAAGTGGCCCACGCGCCTTCTAGGCAAGCAGTGAGAGGAATCCGACTGGCTATACTTGCAACTGGAGTGAATTGATGCCACGCAGAAAGTGTTGCAGACGATGTCGCAGGGAAGCACCTCACCTCCTGTGAGGCTCTCGACCGGCCTGGTCACACTCTTCACAAACATTGAACTGAAGCAACACAAGGAGATCGGGGAAGACTAATCCCGCGGACATCTCCGCTCCAAGCGCACTGGCAGCTTGCGGCAAGGCTTGACAGGTGCAAGCCTAATTGGGGTGAAATTCCGTGCCAACTCACCGCACGGTTTGATGATGATGGATGTTTTTGCAGCTGGCCTCGACGACGAAATTCTTTTTCCGCCCGAACTTGACCAGCATGCACTTCATCTCGATCGCGATTCCGACCACATTGTTGATGAAAACGCGATGGACTTCAGCGCTGCGGTGGGCTTCGGCCTTGTCGAACTTGACATCGCAGCCCTTCCACCAGCCCATGTTGACAGGTTTCTTTAGCAAGTCAGCGCAGTCCTTCTCCACAGCCTTGCCGTTCTCGACGACGCACTCCTTCCACCAGTCCATGTTGTCAGACTTCTTTAGCAGGTAGTCGCTGGATTTCGCCCATCCAGCCGGAGACTGGCATCGCAGGCGTGGCCTTCTCGTCGAAGTCCTTGTTCCACCCGTCCTTGACCAGCATGATATTCATTTCGTTCGCGATTTCGGCATAGCGGAACTGCTTGTATCTGGTGGTGACGCAGTCCTTGCCGTACGTGACATCGCAGCCCTTCCACCAGCCCATGTTGTCAGACTTCTTCTGCAGGTTGTCGTCCTTGTTGATGTCGCGATGGCCAGGGGTATCGATGACGACCGTGTAGTGCCTCTTCTCGGTGTAGAAGTCTTGGGTGGTGCAGGCGCTGGTCACTCCGCTCTCGTGCTCCTCCTTCCGACTGTCCGTGTAGAACGTGAAGGC